GTGAGAATGTCTGGATCAGATAAAAACTCTAAATCTAACTACCAATCTGCAGAGTAGCAAGTGAAGTGACAACAAAATGCAGATTGTAAGAAATTGAACAAGATCGGGGCCGGCTGTGGCGTAGTGGTTAAGGGCGCTGGACTCCCACATGGTTGACTGTGGTTTGAGTTCTGGACCTGGCAGCTTAGTTTCTCACTTTTCCTCCTTCCCTCTCTTGCTGTCCCACTCAGCTCAAATTAGGAAAAAAAAAAAAAAAAAGTAAATAGATAAAAATAAAAGTTAAATAAAATTTTTTAAATTAAAAAAAAAAAGAAATTGCACAGGATAGATAATCTGGTGTTTCAACAAACTGCAAGAAATAAAGACGAGATGTGGTAAAGAGACTTATACTAACAAGGACCTACAATCAATGGCTAATCATGTACCTTATCTGAACAAGCAATAAATAAAAAAATATACATGAAGATGTTTGTATAAATGTATATAACATACAATGTATGTGTACATATATATTTTTGAGTATGTGTACATCTATCTATATATACATATGTCACACATAAAATAGGTAATTGGAAAAAAGTGAAGGTGGAATAAAGGATTTGATGATACTGGAAAATAGTTTATTTTTAAGATATGATGAAAATATTTTAAAGAAAAAGACTCCTTACTCAATAGAGAAATGTACTAAAATAATCACAGATGAATTGGTACATTACACAGAATTTGCTTTAAAATTGGAGGGGAGGCAGTAGTAATGGATAGAGGATTGAGTGACAGTGAGTTGAGATTAGTTTAAGTTGGGTGATAGTTACATAAATATTCATGGTAACTATTCTCCCTACTTCTACACAAGACTAAAATGTTCTATAATACAGTTAAAAAGCCGTATGAACACAAATAACAAAAAAAAAATGTAGCTCATATTAACAAACTGGTAAGAGAACACCAATAACAGATTGAACATTCCAACTTAGAGATCATTGGGATCACCTGAGGAATTTTTTCAAAATATGATTTCTGAATTGCCACTATCTTAACGGACCTCAAAGGTGGAGAAACAAGGCTGAGAACCACTGTGTAAACAGCTGAAGGGTAGGGACTACGCATCATTTACCCAGTGTTTACCTAAATCCTGACACTTAAGAGATATTCAAGAAGTGATTGGTGCATTAATGAATGACCCAAGGATGTGCAAACAAATAGGCAAGCTTAATAGCAGCTAATTGCCAGACACACAAAACACGTCATTCATACTTGATATTAAAAAATTCACTCAGGTTACTGGGTTTAAAGACCAAGGCTCTCTGTTTTAAGTCAAATGGGTTTCCTTCATACAGCCACAGACTAGTCACTTTGAACAGCTACAAGCAAACACAGAGAATAAAAATAGTTTTAAATACACAATTGTGTAGGGTGTGGCTAGCAAATATTCGGATTCTACAATCTGTGTTGGACAAGACAGCTCTTTTTATGTGACTAACAAAGCAAACAGTAGTCCGATTCCTTGTACTGAAATAAGTACACTATTTGCAAAAAGGGTTGAACGTCCAAGGTTTATTCAATAAAGACACTACGTTTACAAAGCTAGCAGGGAATATAGAATGACAAATACCCACCTATATTTACCTATCCCAAAAAAAAGGCATACAACCACCTGGTATGGAATATTTTTTTCTTTCTTTCTATCTTTTTTTTTTTTTGTCTTTATTACATACTAAACAGAATCAAGTCCATCATCTAACCATGGGTAATGGCAGAGCATTTCAAGCACAAAAATAATAGAATTTTAAAGCTGAGAGGAGTTGAGAAACCACCCAGTTTAAACTTTTCATTGTGCTGATGAGGAAACAAACACCTAGAGAAGTTAAGGTGAAAAGCTCTAAAAATGGCTGGAGAGGCCACAGATGGACAGTCTACCCAGAACACCGTGCCAGGTGTCAAGAGGTGAGAATAATTTTTAGAACAGTCGAATGAATGACATTTAACAAAGTGAGTGGCAGTTGTAAACAAATGAGTGTGTGTATGTGTGTGTAACTAGATATACACACAAAACATTAAAATGTGTATTTCTAGTAACTCCTTTCGAAGTAAGTTTTCAGCCTAACATTCAAAACCATCCACAATGTCACATCAATTTCTTTTTCAAAATCTTATTCAAATAAACCATAAGCAAATGGAAGGCAGCTATCTGCTCTCACTAATCTTTCGTAGTCCCTTACAGATATAAGAACACATCCTATAGCAAAAGCTAGTTCATGTATAATTTCCAAGTGCAAGGATGAATAGGATATAAACATTTCTAATTCTCTTGTTAATCTGAAGAGCTATAAAAGTCGTATTTCATGTGTATTGATGAAAATTATATAGAGACATATATGAAAACAAATTTTTTAATAACAAAATCAATAAAAGGACTCCTTGATATCTACCCAAAGGACACCTTTTATTGATTTTGATATTAAAAAATTTGTTTTCATATATGTCTCTATATAATAAGAATTCTTCATTGGAAAAGTGCTTGCACATTGATGTTTATTGCAGCACTCTTCATGATTGCTAAGACATGGAACCAACCCAAATGCCCCCATATGTATGAATGGATTGAAAAACTGCGGCACATATACTCTATGGAATACTATTCAGCCATAAAAACCAACAAAACCCTGGCTTTTGACAGAAAGTGGGAGAATATGGAAGATTTACTGCTGAGTGAAGCAAGCCAGACTATGAAGGAGAGACACTGTATGTCCCCACTTAATATATACCAAGTGTCTGCACTCTATGACTGAAACTGATTGACTAAAGGATATAGAAACACAAGAGATGGGTGTGAATGCCAGATGGTGTGGAGTTGGGCCTAGCGAAAGACATTGGGAGGAGAGATACAGAGGCAGAGCATTGATGGGATAGGGAGGTGTAGTGTTATCTGTTGAAGATATTTTGATCAACTGGACTGGGGAGAAATGTTCACATATTGAAATGTTCATTTTGTAAGCTAAACAATGTGATTGAATGTATATAAATAAATTAATAAAAAATAAATAAGTAAACATAAGAAAATCAATAAAAGGTGTAAAAGTGAGAGAAATATAGACAGTGAGATGAGTTATTATTTACATCTCTATAAGATGCTAATAAGGGCTTTTTCGAAATACATATAGAAAATTTCCTTTGGGGAGAAAGGAGGATAAAAGGATAGACTTCATTTTATTCACAAACTTTAATATTTTGATTACTGATCAATCCTGATGTATCTATGTCAATGAATGGGATTCTTCTAACCTAGTTCACCTGTACTGTTGATTTGATATTGACTTAAAATGATGAAATTAAGTAAGATACAAATTTTGGGCTCTCAACGTCCTGACTTTACTAGATTTTTTAATATCCTGTAACTGATACAGAGTCTCCTAGTATTGTTAAAAAGAATACTAACTAATGAAATTTACAATGGTAATGTTTATTTCCTTTTGAGGGGAAAAATGTTTCTAATTAACAGAATTCAAGATCTCTAAAGAAAATTGCAAGGTAAGCTGATAATATTTTTAAAAAGCTGAAAGCAAAGCTTGAAGAATTTTCTTCTTCTGGAATGAATACAGCAACTTTATGCAAATAAACATAATGGGATGATCAAGTTAAAGGTTTTTGCAAACTCTACTGCAACTCTAAAGTCTAAATTTAAGTAAGAAAATCTAAAGCCATTTACTGAACATAGCATAGTCTTGTAAACAGCTATCAAATTCACAGATGTTATGCCTCTGTATGGTAAATCTAAAATATTTACCATGTAAAATTTTAAAATATTTAAAGTGCTATCTTAATTTTCTCACTCATGTCTGAGGACTTACACTAAAATGCCAAAATGCAAAAGAGTATACCTACATTTTCACGATTTTGTTTCTTTATAAAGATAAGAACTGGGGTAAGGTTTTTTTTTTTGATAAAAATTAGTAACATTAATGGACAAATTGATGTCTTTTTGTAATAACTCAAGATATTAGATGATAGTTTAAATCCACACACCACTTCTCCAAAGGAATTCTTCTACTTTTATATACTGACTGTTTTTGACCAAATAACACAAGAATGTGCTTTCCAAAAATAAAAAAGTGGTATCATCATCCCATCATGAACAAACTTAAATACCAGAGCAGTAACTTCTAAAATAAAATTACAGAAAAATATGGTGTATGGCTAAAACTATTAATATATGTTTCAAACAAAGAGTTTATTTTTCAATAAGAAAACAAGGAAAGAGCCCAACCTGATCTGGTAAGCCTGCCCAATAGAACTTTCCACCATAATTAGTGCTTACCACCTCTGAGAGGAGGAGCTTAAAGTCAGGGTAACCTCCCGTAGTAAGGAAAAAACAGCATAAATACTGCAGGGCAGCTCTGGAGAGGGCACCTTTTGCACTGCTCACCTGTGGCAGAGAGAGGAGGCCTTAGAAAGTTGCCAAGACACCATCCCTGGAACTGCAGCACCCAGGTAAGTCTATAAATTGATGCCCAGTGGTTGACTTCCATGTTAGCTTGCTTAAAAACAAACTTCAAAAAAATTAACTATATTGATTTTGTTTTGTTTTGTTTTACTTTAGATTTTTTTTTAAAAAATGGCTTTCTACTAAAATGTACTCTGAAAGTTTTATCAGTCTATATGAGATAGTCCTATAACACAGTATTGTACAAACTTGCCACAGCACTATCACGATTAATTCAAATTAATGCTTAATTTGAATTTCAGTGTATTATGAAACTTGGATATTTTAGGCTACATTAAAGATCCTAATTTAATAAGACATCTAATAATGACTTTTTTGTGTGTGAATCATTTGATTACTTGAAGGTGGTTCCCCCAAGGAACTAATTCACAGAACTAAAAAATTATATGATAGAGTAAAAAAAGTAGATAACTATATAAAGAACTTATCTGTGTAACATTAGAAGAATAAAACAGGTCAACAAAAAAGCTGTATTAAGTTATTCATTTCTGTTTTTCAGGATCCATCTGACAATATGCTGCCACAAATAGCTCTTTTGCTGCTAATGTCCTTGAACTTGGTTCATGGAGAGTTTTATGCTGAGCGATACCAAACACCTACAGGCATCAAAGGCCCACAACCTAACACCAAGGCACAGTTCTTCATCCCCTACACCATAAGGAGTAAAGGTAAACTGAACCCCATTATTTTTTCTATTAACTAGTTGGTAGGTTCTAAAATCTTAATGATCTCTTTAACAAAACATTTTTAACTCAGTTTGATGTTAAATCATTTTGAACTCCTGAACAAGTTGAAATTATTACAACAAGGTACTCTGTGGAAAGACTGGGTCTATTCAAGAACATTAATATCCCTCGCACCATAAGTACGATAGAAAGTATATACCTAAAGTGTATACTGGAAAGAAGCGCAGAAAGGTACACCTGAAGAATATGAAGGACTTTCATGTTAGAATTTTTTTTTCCCTCAAAGATGCTTTTGTTCAAATAACTATCCATAGCCCAGAAATATTAATCCAGTCAAAATGAATCAAGTTAAGAAATGTTTAACTAAAACAACTGCCAATAACAAAGAAAATAGCATGCATACACATGCACACACACACATACACACACACAACCACTTAAATATGTACTTTAAAAATATACACAACTAGCCCACAAATACACACAACTGAATTTTATCAAATAAAATCTCATGCCCCCCTCCAAATAATAGACAAATGAAGTAGCAATTCTCATAATCATACATTTTTATTTAGTCAATGCTTAAGTGAACAGACTTAACTGCTACATACTCTGTGATCTTGGGTAATTTATTTATCCTTCCTGTGCCTTAGTTTCCTCGTTTATGAAAGTAGCAGCAGCTATTTCAAAGGGTTCGTGAAGCTTAGGTGAGTCAATTGTTGTAAAGCTCTATAAGTATTACTATGAGTACTATTCCTTTCACTAGTATTTGTACGATTACTACTGCCCCACTGGTGTAGCCTTACTGTTCCTGTTCAATCTATGCCTCGTTTGTCCAACTTTTTCAGTTCCTGCGAGGAACACTGAGATAATATATGTAAGAGACTAAGAGAGCCTTAAGAAAGGTGAACTCCTAAGTCTCACATTCCCTAATTCAGTTTAATACCAGATGATACAAATTGCTCATAAAACAGCTACTGAATTATATAAACTAATTGTAGGCTTCAATCCTCCTTTCCATAGTATTTTCCATCTTATCTATATATGCATTTTATCCTGTAAATAAAGCTAAGGTTACTTGTCATAAGCGTTAAATACTATTATGCTTTTGTGAAATTTTGAGCAAATGAAACTAATAAGACTGTTTTTAAAAAGACAAACTTCAAGATAGTTCTTGAATGGTAGCTTAATATTTAAAAATAAATGCACAGGTACACAACAGATATTTTTGAAGTTCTCAAAAATAAGTGAGATAAAGATAAAAGGTAGAAAAGAATAAAAGACAAAACGTCTGCTACTTTACTTGAAGCAACAAATGTGATGTGAACTTCTATGACAAACAGTACTGCATTCAATACTTGTGTGATAACAAATTCAGACTTTTTATACCTTACTAAGATCATAATAGTCTTAAATTTAAAATAGAATGTACCACTATTTGAAGGTTAATATTATTTTTGTCTCCTCGCATTAATGCATTGCATTATCTTCTCTAAGTTTGCAGAACTAATGAAAATATATTGTTAATAAATGAGTTAATTTAGTATTGACATTTTCCATAAGAGAGAGTCAGAGAGAGAGATACCTCTAACGTGGTCTTCATACTGTGATCCACCTCCAGCTCTAGCCAGCCCAGATCATAGCATGTACAGGAGGCTCTAGGAACACACACAGAACCTTCTCATGTGGGCCCAGCTGCATTACTGTGCACCACTGCCTAGCCCCAGAAGAAGCTGAATTTTAACCATTAAGTCCACCTTGGTTACTTTTTGATAATGCAAAGTAGAAACTCAAATACCCTGGGAAGCATTAATGCATTGTAATTAACACAAATCCGAGTTTATGCAAGTAAAACATTAAGTTGATTACAGAAATTCAATGAATTCCTAGGCACATTTTTTCAACACAGGCTTAAAAACACACTAAGTTAAGCTGCAGAAGATTTCACGGCTGGTGAACACATTCATGTGCCATAAAACGTCTGCTACTTTACTTGAAGCAACAAATGTGATGTGAACTTCTATGACAAACAGTACTGCATTCAATACTTGTGTGATAACAAATTCAGACTTTTTATACCTTACTAAGATCATAATAGTCTTAAATTTAAAATAGAATGTACCACTATTTGAAGGTTAATATTATTTTTGTCTCCTCGCATTAATGCATTGCATTATCTTCTCTAAGTTTGCAGAACTAATGAAAATATATTGTTAATAAATGAGTTAATTTAGTATTGACATTTTCCATAAGAGAGAGTCAGAGAGAGAGATACCTCTAACGTGGTCTTCATACTGTGATCCACCTCCAGCTCTAGCCAGCCCAGATCATAGCATGTACAGGAGGCTCTAGGAACACACACAGAACCTTCTCATGTGGGCCCAGCTGCATTACTGTGCACCACTGCCTAGCCCCAGAAGAAGCTGAATTTTAACCATTAAGTCCACCTTGGTTACTTTTTGATAATGCAAAGTAGAAACTCAAATACCCTGGGAAGCATTAATGCATTGTAATTAACACAAATCCGAGTTTATGCAAGTAAAACATTAAGTTGATTACAGAAATTCAATGAATTCCTAGGCACATTTTTTCAACACAGGCTTAAAAACACACTAAGTTAAGCTGCAGAAGATTTCACGGCTGGTGAACAGATTCAGGTGCCATATTCTTTTTTTTTTTTTTGGAGAGGTATTCGCTATAGGGCGCGTGCGCTAGCCAGACAGACAGAGAGAGACATAGAGACAGAAAGCGAGAAATCAACCCCCCCCGGGGGGATGGTCACGCCGCAATCCCTTCTCCTCCATTCTCCTCTTGGGATCTTGGGCACGCACGCACACGTGCCTGGCGTGGGTTTTAAGCCACCGGGTCCAGGACGCGAACCGTGGTTGACTACGTGCCTGGCGTGAGTTTTAAGCCACCGGCTCTGGGACGCGAACCACGGTCGACTACGTGGGAGTCCAGCGACATAGTCATTACGCTAACTGCTGGTTCCCCAGGTGCCATATTCTGACATCATCAACCAAGATTTCAGTTTGTGGGCATTTAAGAAACATAACAGGTGGCAGTCATTCTTTGAGCACGGGGCCACCCTAGTCTTGAATGAAATAAAAATTTTCAGATTACAAGTTACAAACAGGAGCTGTTTCACAAAGCTTCAACAGAAGTCAATTGTTTTCTCGGATGGACAGGTTGAGGATTAATTAGGGCAAAATTTCAAAGGACAAAAATGACCCTGTTATTAGAGGTTTGTCCTCAACTGGTACCTAATACAGGTTATTTTCAATTAAGACTGGTTTTTCTCTTTTAACAATAAAACAGATTTCCACTCAAACTAAGACACTTATTTTTCATATGAACATGATTCTTGTAATCAGATTTTTGGATTAAACCCCAATCCAACACACTTTGCATTTTAAAAAATGCTATTTTATCCCAAACCATTCTTTAAAATCCCTTATTTTTTCATCTATGACATTTGCAATATATCAACTTCAATGTATACACAATAGGTCTATTATGTATATACACTAAAGTCAATCGAGGGGATTTGTGTTAATACATGGAAATTGTTTCTATAAATTATTTTTTACAAAGTATTTTCCCTGATGTCATTTTCTAAAAATCCATGGGAAAGCCTAATATATTCAAATGTTTGCAAACTAAAATATAACTCCAATTAGTACAAAATATAAAGGTATCCAAGTCTAAGACTATTTTCCTATTTTGGCATATAAATTTTAATGATTTCTTCTGCATTTTATAGTTCATTTTCAAATCTCAAGAACATCTCTACCCATGAGAATAATATCAGCACTACTGTTGGCTAGCTACTTCTTTTATGCCAATTGATATGAGATTTAGTATACCTGTGTACTAAAACTGATCGTTAAGGGGAACTACACCTATAAAGTAGGTTCTCAAATGAACTCACAGCTCTATAAAAATCAAACAATGGTTATTTTCATTTACATAAGCACTTTAATATAATTTTTATGTACCTTGTTCATTATGCCTATTATAATTAATTTTAAGTCAATAACAGAACACATAAGAGCTCACAATACACACAGAGGAATTAAAAAAAAAAAACCAAAAAACTGTTTGCCAGAGCCATGACAGATATGACTTAGAATTAATTCCATTTCTTATTTATGTCTGTGGGATAACTTTTTTGGGGAGAAAATGGTTATTTTCTGTATTATTCTGTATTTCTTTTGTTTTCTCTTTTTTGTCAAATACCTTTTATTTTATAGAGACAGATAATTTCCCCAAAACAAATGTGATAAATTGACCTCCACTGTACAGTTATTCTAGAGGAATTCTTCAATTCCAACTTATTTCCAGGGATCATTAGGATGTGATAAAAGTAGTCATGTTCTCTAGCAGTGCTTTTTAAAACAATATAAAACATCCTCTCTAAAACCATTTAAGATTGGTCAGTGTGTATGAACTCAATGACACTGAAATGTTTTGGCCCAACTTGAATTTTGAAAAGCAACAATTATATTTAATCTTAATATCCATCCCCCTCTCTGGGTGGGTGTATTGCATGTGTCTTTTAGGTATACCAGTAAGAGGAGAGCAAGGTATACCTGGTCCTCCAGGTCCCGCTGGGCCTCGAGGGCATCCAGGTCCTTCTGGACCACCAGGAAAACCAGGCTACGGAAGTCCTGGGCTCCAAGGAGAGCCAGGGGTGCCAGGACCACCAGGACCTTCAGCCATTGGGAAGCCAGGTGTGCCAGGACTCCCAGGAAAACCAGGAGAGAGAGGACCACACGGACCAAAAGGCGACATTGGACCAGCTGGTTTACCAGGACCCCGAGGTCCACCAGGGCCACCTGGAATCCCTGGCCCGGCTGGAATTTCTGTGTCAGGAAAACCTGGACAACAGGGACCTACAGGAGCCCCAGGACCCAGGGGCTTTCCTGGGGAAAAGGGTGCACCAGGAGTCCGTGGTGCAAATGGACAGAAAGGGGAGACAGGATATGGTGCCCCCGGTCGCCCAGGTGAGAGGGGCCTTCCAGGTCCTCAGGGTCCCATGGGACCACCTGGCCCTCCCGGGGTAGGAAAAAGAGGTGAAAATGGGTTTCCGGGACAGCCAGGCATCAAAGGTGATCGGGGAGTTCCAGGAGAAAGGGGACCAATGGGCCCAACAGGCCCCCAAGGTCCTCCTGGGGCACGAGGACCAGAAGGCATTGGAAAGCCAGGAGCTGCTGGAACCCCTGGCCAGCCAGGGATTCCAGGAGCAAAAGGCCATCCTGGGACTCCAGGAATAGCTGGGCCCCCAGGGGTTCCTGGCTTTGGGAAACCAGGCTTGCCAGGCCTGAAGGGACAAAGAGGACCTGCCGGCCTTCCAGGGGGTCCAGGTGCTAAAGGGGAACAAGGACCCGTAGGTCATCCTGGGGAGCCAGGTCTGACTGGCCCTCCTGGAAATATGGGACCCCAAGGACCAAAAGGCATCCCAGGCAATCACGGTATCCCAGGCGCCAAAGGAGAGACAGGGCCAGTTGGGCCTGCAGGACATCCTGGAGCTAAGGGAGAAAGGGGTTCCCCTGGGGTAGATGGAAAACCAGGGTATCCAGGAGAACCTGGTCTCAGTGGTCATAAAGGTAACCCAGGATTACCAGGCCCTAAAGGTGACCCTGGAGTTGGAGGACCTCCTGGTCTCCCAGGCCCTGTGGGCCCAGCAGGCGCTAAGGGAGTGCCTGGACACAATGGAGAGGCTGGTCCAAGGGGTGCCCCTGGAATACCAGGTACTAGAGGTCCCATTGGGCCACCAGGCATTCCAGGATTTCCTGGATCAAAAGGGGATCCAGGAAATCCAGGTCCTCCTGGCCCAGCTGGCATAGCCACTAAAGGCCTCAATGGACCCACTGGACCACCAGGGCCTCCAGGTCCAAGAGGCCACACTGGACAGCCTGGTCTCCCAGGGCCCCCAGGGCCCCCAGGCCCACCAGGTCAAACAGTGATGCCCGAAGGCTTTATAAAGGCAGGTCAGAGGCCTGGTCTTTCTGGGATGCCTCTTGTTAGTGCCAACCAGGGAGTAACAGGAA